GATGGAAAACTGGATGGAAAAAAAATTAGACAATAAAACGACAAAAAATATCCACCAACCCTTGCTACATACAAGCAAATTATCGACATGTCAGCACTAAAGTTAAACCAGTTTGGTTGCTCCGCTAAACAACTTCCAGTCTGCAGATATAATTAAGGGACCTTTGCTAATAACTAAGGGACTTCTATAAATAATTGAGGATTTAGTGGCCCAACCTCATAGTCATTGGCCAGGGACCTCGGCACTGGGAAATCCTACCACTTGCAATAATATATATACATATGTATAATTGTTAAGAATATATATATACATATATATATGTATATATATATATATATATATATATATATATATATATATATATATATATTAATAGGTAATGTAATATTGTCACAGATCCTTTTAACATGTCAATGTCAATGACGATGACGCTCACCTTGATAATGATGATGGCGGTGACGCTGATGATGATGATCTGCAGTAGTCCTCACTCTGTCGGAGCTATGTCTGTAAGAGGAGGTGGGTTTTTTGTGTGGTGTTGATGAATGGATGAATGGATGGATGAATGGATGGATGGATGGATGGATGGATCGATAGATGGATGGATGGATGCATGGATGGATGCATGGATGGATGCATGGATGGATGCATGGATGCATGGATGGATGCATGCATGGATAGATGCATGGATGCATGGATGAATGGATGGATGAATTTAGGGACGAATGGATGGACGAACGATGGATTGAATGAACGAATAGATAAATGAAAAAATAAATGTATATTGGTGAGACAGATGCGGAATTAATAAAGGACCATGAATACATACTTCCCTATTTCAATTTCGAATTTGATTGATTTGCTAATTAGAAAATACATTGATAAATGGTTACTTTAAATCGTGCGTGTGTGTGTCTGTGTATGTGTCTGCCTCTCTGTCTGTGTGTGTGTATGTGTGTGTGCGTGTGTATGTTTGCAGCTCTTCCGTTTTTGCATTTTTATGCGCTCAAACAAAGCCATAAAATATGCTAACAATACATTGGTTTCTACGACGAAATATTTTCACTGGTAATTAAAGTGAAGATTGAAAAGTTTTTCATTCTTTCTTATTTTCCCAGTTAAAATTTGAATCCTGTTAAAAACCAAAAATAAAATTCCCCCAGCGTGTGGGTGAAGATACAATTGTGTGGCGGGATTACCCGCAAATGTTCATTTCAATGTGTGTGTTAAACTCATCAGCGCTATTTACTTAATACAAAACTTTATTTTGCATAAAATGCAAACATTATATACATAAATACATTAAGATATACAATGTATACAAACATTTGAACATACAATGCCCAACAAAATTAGAAGAACATGCAAAACAATATACCGACATCAAAACATGCAATATACAAAAAACATTCAAACATACAAAGTAATATACAAACGTCACAACATAGGGTATACAAAAAACGTCTAAACATACAATATACAACAAAAATATTTGCATACCATCACGTAAAAAGCTATTGTAACAACAATCAAACCAAAAAAAATGCAAAAATAAGTTTATTTAAAAAATCAAAAAGGTTAGAAATTTGAAAATTGTAAACAACCATGAGCCAACAAGTTTAGACCCTAACAACATCGAGACAACCGTATCTTTAATTTAATAATATCTAAAAAAAAGTTGAATAAAAACATTAAGGCTAGTATAGAAAATTAATTTTAAAATATGCAAATAGGTGAAATATTTAAATTTTAATCTTCTATCACCGATTACGACAACATTCAGTAGTAACATTCTCAAAAGCACGTAATGCGTAAACTAAACAGTCCTAAAAACAATATCCATCAAATTTAAAAAGGGCAACGAGTAGCTTTGTGCTATTGACACCGGATTCGAACTCAGAGACATCTCCTACTAATAAAGGAGTACGATGATTCACGAGTACACACACACACACACACAGTTAAAAACACATACACATTCTCTCTTTCTCTTTCTCTTTCTCTCTCTCTCTCTCTCTCTCTTTCTCTCTAAACATGTAAACTTTCTTCAAAAACCACACTAAAGAGTAAATTGACAAAAAAAAGACGAACAAATCCAATTAATCCACTGTCCACCCATCCTTCCATTTGAAACAGCAGACGGCCTGAAAGCGACCAGCCAGCAGCAGCAGCAGCACAACCTGGAGAAGAGGGGTCACAAATTCATCGGCAAGAGAAACATCATGGATCCGCTGACGATTCAAAGTTTCGAGGAGGACGAATATAATGATCATCCAGAAAGGGAACTGGTCAAGAGAGAACTGGTCAAGAGAGGAAGAATGTACATCGGTAACCTTTTTTTGGCATATTTTTATTTCAATTATTTGATTTTCATTTGTTTTCTTTAGTCAGATTTATCCCAGAAAATAATAAAAATTCATCTAAAACGAAATTTTTTTAAGAGATAGAAATTGACAGCTTTTTCATTTAATTCAACAAAAAAAACCCACACTTACTACTAAATTTTTAAAACCACACCCAGGCAAAAGAGAAGCAAACCCCAGTTGGTACGAAGTGACCGAGTCGGAGAAGATTCAAAATGACCAACCGACGAACAACAGACACGGTTGGGCCAGCATTTTTTACGAAGACAAACCATTCAAGAGGTAATTTTTCTTCGTAATGCATACTGACCACTGACCATTATGACGTTTTCTGGTATCATTTTGTAACATCCGGATTCAGCCGTTGGTTTAAACGTACGAGTGTTCGGACCGAAAAGATACAAAATAAAATATTGATCTATTCTTTCCTTGATTCTTAGGACATTTTTTTTCTAAAAATTCAATCACTCAGTCAATTAGTTTATAAAGCGCTATTTCCGCGATGTTCAACAGCTCTCCTCAAGGAATTTGGCAAACAGATGGGTCTTGAAATCCGCCCTGAACTTCATAAGTTATGGAGAAGTAGTCAGAGAAATTAGGTATAAATTCGTAAAAAAAAAACTATTTTTTGTAACTATAATTAAAAAAAGAACAATTTTTAAAATAAAAAGTGAAAATATTAATTAAAAAAAAATAGAAAAATATTTTTGGGAAAAAAGTTGCGTGCATTTGAGTGTGCGTATCATCATCGTATGTAAGAAAGGAGGATGGCCAGAAGATGAGCATGTTGATTTGATTGCGTAGGAAAGAACCATCTGGTGACATTTCATTATTCTTCTGCCGGCTTGATTTATCCTGTTTCGCTTTTTTGTTATTAGATTTCCGATAATTTATTTATTTTTCATTTTGTTATCTTCTTTCATTCTATTATAATCGCACTCCTAAGCGCTTTAACTTGTTGGATTAATACTCTTTGAGTGTGATTAACAGGCCTCTACCACAAATTTTGTTTGGCTGATATTGAAAAAAAAACCTTTTAAAAAAAATAAAAATTTATATCTCGCAAGAAAGATAATTTATTAATTTATCCATCACAGATCTGTTGACGTTGATTCTATGTACGAAACTCTAGATGGCGCTGTTGATTCCGATGACGTCAGATCATCAAAGAGAGGCAGACCCTACATTGGCTGAATCAATTTTGACGTAATAACTCATGAATGTTAATTGATAAATAAAATAATTAATTAATTAAGCTATTAACATTAATATCGTTAATTGTTTCTATTTTATTGTTTTGGAAGTTTGAAGTTATTTTAGATAGTCGTTAGTTAAGCGTTGTGTTTATATCTCGTGAATAGTGGAAGAAAAAAATTGAAGAATAAAGAGGCTTTCTTCCACTATCGTTGCGTTATGTCCATTTCAATTTCTCGAAAATTACTCTGACAGTTTTGTGATGAATAACACTCAATAGCCGACTTTACAAGAAATAAAACTGAAAAAAAGGAAAATTTAATTTTTTGGCTTAAGCTAAAATTAATATCTGTCCACTTTTTTGACCAAAACGCAATAAAATTTAAATTGTCTTACATTGTTTTTTATTTCTGGAAAATGGTTTTCCTTACTTAGGTATGCCTTCATCACGTGCAAAAGTTGGTGTTTCACGTTTACCTTCACACCAACAAATTATGTGAAAGATACACAGCCAACTATGTGAAAGATACATTTAAAACAAAATTTCCAGCATAACCAACATATTCTATCAAATCATACGCAGTCGCAAATGGCGCCACTGAAAATATTTCTTTTCGTTCATTCACTCAAAAATAATCGCTCGAGTATTTCGCGGTAATCCAAATTTTTCTAAACTATTTAATGGTTCGATCGTTTTAATGGAAATGACTTACATATATACACCAGCTTAGAGTTGTTCAATAAACATACAAAACAACCCGGCAAGGAACGAGTAGTGTATCTTCTAAATGTCTTCCACATGAGACGCAAAATTAATTTTATTCTCTGGTCGATCTAATCCAGATCGTATAAATTTGAAGAGGAGAGCAGCGTAACAGAAAATTAAAGAGAAATAGAAAGATAGATATCAACCTGACGTAGTGAAGTCGCGATGGGATGGCCACTGGTGGTCGATGAGGCGAGTTCACTCCGATAAGAAACTACACGCAATGTTGCACGGTCAATAGCCGCATTTTTCACAGTTGGGATTGTTCTGTAGCCTAGTTTTAACGTCGTTAACGCTCAACTTCATTAATTTGCGCGTTACGAGAAATCATCACCAACAGCTCGCAGTTACTATCGACAATTAGCGTGCAATCAACATTAAATCATAGAACATGCGGATCAGTAAAAAACGAATTTAAGCCGCATCGTTCGTTCGTAGCATCTATAAACATTCGTGAAATAGAAATAACTTTAACAAGTCGCAACACGTAGAAACGTCCCCAACACATTCCATGGTGTCTTCTCGCAGTTAGAAGTCTAATTAATAAGATGTCGTCATCTTAAAAAAATGCGCGGAAATAAAAAAAATTTACCCCGTTACGATGGGATTGTCGATATGACGTGAAGATACGGCGGGCATGTTTTCCAATCAGAACAATTGAACGATAAACAACTAACTAATTGTTCATTGATTGGTTGGTTGGTATAACTTTAATAACGTTTGAAACTTGCATTCAACTTACAAACAACACTTTAAGGCAAAATTTCAAAAAGTTAAAAACGAAACAACTTTAACAGGAGAAATTAGTCTGTCATTTACAGCCATAAGAAAATTTCAGAAAGATATCATCAATTTTTAAACAATTACAAATATTCCTAAATTAATGATATAACAAAATCGCATTACAATGAAAAAATGAAGGTATTGGAAAGAATATGAAGGTATGGGGGATATGACGGGGTATGAGAGGGTGTGAGATTGTTATCGGATGGCCTTGGGAACATCATCAAGGTGGTTGATCTTGTGGTGGTCGGCTGGGTTGGCCCTGGCTTCGTACGTTGCTAAGGTGATTTCCTGGCGACGAAACTGTGGTTGAATGGGAAGTTTTAGTAACGTTAAATCTGTTTAAATTATTGTTAAACAACTTTGGCTTTGCTTAGCGTTAAAACCATTTAAATTTCAATGGCTATAGCAGACGTATGTCACTGCAAACAGATCACATAAAATTGAAATAAGAAACAAGCTGCTCAGAATAGTTACTCGCCTAAAAAACATAACCAAATAAATTGAAAATTTGCCAAAAACATAAAAAACAAACAAACTAAACCATATTCTTAAATGAATCTTTGAAACACCAACCATGAAAAGAAACCAAAAATCAAAAAGAACATAGTTATAGAAAATAATTTAAAAATGAAACACATGAACCAGCCAGACACCTCTGTGAAATCGCCCTTGAGACCAATGTAGTAAATTTTCGTTGTTTCCGCTCCAAAATTTGTTGGAAAGTAAATACTGAGATGGCTGATTGAACTGAAACGTGTGGCTCTTCAGTTGGTAAACAAATTTAATGGTGAGGATAAAATTAAATAAAAACTTTTCTTGAAAGTTTCTTCATAAACATTTATTGTTTCATTTAACAAAATTGGAAAATTTTTACGTTAGGTAAAATTTAATTATAAAAAAGAGAGGAATCAAAAAAAACCTGATTTCGTATTCAGCACTTCCATCGTAATCCTTGACCAGTTCGAACTCCTGGTCAGCCTCGCCAAGACCATCATCAAATGTCATACTTGGACGATTTTTAAACCTTTGTGTGTCGCATTCAAATTATTGATTAAAGTGAAATAAGTTCTTTAATAGATAAGATTTATAAAAATTCATTTCAGTACATTAAGCAGATGACTAGCACAAACAGCTAAATCTATAAAGCTAATTGTTACACCTGATAAAAGCAAAGATTGATAAACAACTAAGAGCAAATATTAACTGACAATAGCCCAAACTGCCAGCCAGCAACAGAGCAGCAAACTGCCTTTAATACTAACAGCTTAACTGATTTGGGATGCTGGCCTTCTTCCCCTCCAATGACAATCATCCCTTTCAGTCTGATGCAGCCTGTGAACCTTGGAAATTCGTTACAAAATTATTTGATTCCAATTTGAACTCATAAGGCATACACACCCACACATAAATAAACAGACATAGACATATACACACACAAATACATACATGAAAATACACAAATTTTAACTAAAATGAACAAATTATGTTTCAACTATCATATAGGTAGATGTATAGATAGAATAAAGATAAAGAGGCACTTTTCACTACTAACGGTATGTTGAATAATAACTCTTGGTCGACATCACTTTCAACAAACTGCAAAACGAGATAAAATTAACATGCAAATGAATTTAAAAGTTATGAGCAAGCTCTCTAAAAAATGTACAGTAGTTTCATTTAATTAATTCTAATCATTTCATTTCACCATACATACATTAATAATAATATTGATGACTCATTATCAATCAATGAATGACAACAACATACCTTGGACCTGTCTGTCCTCTCGTGCCAAGCCTTGAAAACCAGTCTGCCGGACTCGTCGACGGCCTCGTTCAGGCACTGAACTTTGTAGATGTCAATTTTTGAGTAGAGGCTGTACAAATTTCCCCTATCCTGGGTTTCATCTTCCTCTGTGTGCTCACAAGAACAGCCACAATGCTGACCATGAGGATGATTGTGACCGGACATTCTTCGCCAATTTTTCAATTAAAGCAATTTAGTTTAGTTTATAGTTAGTTAAGAGGAACTATTTAGTTCGGGAGTTAAATTAAAAGTTAGGAGAAACAAATCCTTTAAATTTAAAATAGAAATCAAATAATGAATGAGTTTACTTTTATAATTTTAAAAGTTGTCTAACGCTTAACTTGTCAGATAATTAATAAGTCCATTAGTTAATAACATTTCGAGTGAAAATATTGTTAAAATATGACATTTTTAATATATATATAAATTGAAATTACATTTTGATAAACAAAATTTTAATACGCATTTAATTACATTAGTTATATCATGCTATCAGGCATTTCTTTTAAACTTTAACTTTCTTGAATTCAATAATAAATTATAAAACATTATATTTAAAATTAAATAAAACATACTATAACATATTAAATTTAATCATTAATAAGCGTTTTAAAAAATTTAAATAAATCAAATAATAAAACGCTTTTACTTGTACCATTTTTGTACACATCTTTAAAAAAATGGAGTTTGTTTTGATTTCAGATTTAATAATTCATTAAAAATATCGATAATGTTGATGTGATTGGCAAGGTAGCTAATATTATTTAATAACTGTAATTTTTGACAATTAATTTTTTTAAGTTAAAACTTATTTGTTGAAATTTGCGATAATGTTAACCTAGGAGAGACCCATCAGAATATCATTCACAATTTTTTTTTATTTTCAATATATTTGCATGGTAAATCTAAACAACATCAACATTTATTCTCAAATTAGTTGCGTTAACCATCAGAATGAGCAGAGAAAATGGCACCGGACAGCCGTTTCGGGTTTTCTTTACGATTAAAAAATGCTTGATTGATGGAATAAAAAGTCGAATATTCACTAACACCGACCATTTATTAAGCATGGGTGTCCTGACTCTCAAAATAGCCGACAATGTTTTTCTGAATGCCGGTGACCTTGGCCTTGGAACCAGTCGATGTTCTAACAGACATTTGTTGAAGTCAGAAGATCGACTTAATGCTTCAACCCCACTCTCTTCTTCAACAACATCGTCACCATCATTACTATCGTCATTTATGCCCTTGAATAAATCTTCACCAGATATTGATAGTGATGTACTACATGATGTTAAGCGCCCAAAAATGATTGATTCAAATGGTTCCGCTAATACTCCATTAGAAAATTTAATTCAAACCAAGTTGGATGAACACCACAACATGCTTCAGAAGTCCACATCGCTTGGCAATGTAAATGTTAGTAATAACAACAGTAACATCATTATAGAACCAGCCACTACAACTGCCATTGACAACAACATTAACAACATTGTCACCCAAAACACTGGCACCAATCCTGGGTTCCAGCAACAAAAAGATAGCATGGATGTTTCAACATCGGTTCTATCCATTCAATGTCCTTCTCGCAAGGAAGATGGTATGTTCATGCCTGAACGAGCAGAGTTTCATCATGCTTCTGATCTGTCTAGGGTCAAATACAATGCCAGCAACAATTTTATTCACAACAGCAACAACAATAACTTAATCTCACACCACACAAATAACTTTCATGCTAGTAGCAAAAATTTGAACTGCTATAATGAACAAAACATGATGATGCCACCTAAAATTCGACAACCCAAAAGAAGAAAATCTCAAAATGATTACGTGCTACTAAAACAACAACAGCAGCAACAAGCAACATTACAACAATCCACACTGCAGCAACAACATTTATACAATTTTACATCGCCATCCCCACAGCAACAGTTATTGCACCGACAGCATTACAGAATGATAAACAACAGCAGCAACAACACTTTCAATAACCAGCAGGCCTACGTAGGCAAGCACTCTCCCACTAAATCATCAGGCAACACCTACAAGACATTTCAACATCAACAATACCACAACAGCAGTCCGTATATGTCTCAGGGGGTCCGACAGCACATGTATCCGTACCAGCTCACCAGCAACAACACTATTCCCAACCATTTTAGGAACAGCATGAAGCACGAGGAAGCTTACTATAATCAGGAGTTCATAGAACATCCATACCACCACCAAAATCAACTTCAGTTCCGTCAACACCATCACCATCTTCAACCCCCTAACCTCGAACACCCTGCTCGGTTTGGCCATCCTTATGCCATGGATGGTGCATTCATTCATGCACACATGCACTCTCCAACACAGCAACACCAACAACAATTTCAGCAACAACTACACCAGGAGCAGCAAATGTGTTTTGCTGCAAAAAATGAAAGTTTTTATAACCACAGAGAGGTCGTAGAGGAAGAGTTCATCATCAAATCTCTTGACCACCATCAACACCATTATCATCATCAGCAGCAACAGCATCAGCAACATTTACATCAACAACCACAACACCTTTCCAATTACCAACTTGATCTACCAATCACTGAACTGCCAGCTAAGCTCAATGAAATGAACACTCTATCATCTTCAACTTCGACTGCATTAGAAACGTCATCAACTTCATCATCATCTTTATTCTCAACATCAACAACGACATCTACTGATAATTCATCATTGTTGTCATCATCAACAACAGCAACAACAACATTGTCAACAACAACAGCCACACTAGACAACAATGTTGATTGCATAGAAAGGTTCATAAATTCCAATGAAGACCTTGACCTTTCCGATTGCCTGGATGACCTTGACGACCTTCTGGACTTTGATGTGGACCTCCCCGAAGACTTCTGCCCTCAACTTGCAGATTGTTGTGACAACAACATCACTGGTGATGATGTGATTAATGATGACGTCATGGCTGATGACAACAACAACAATGTCATTAGTGATCACAACAACAATGTTCTCATCTACAATTCAAATGACAATGAAAGAAGTTCAACTGCCATCAATAACATCAACAACAACAACAAAGATAACAGCAATAACAGCACTGTTGACAAAAATTTGGTTAGTAATAAGGATGATAGATCAAACTGTGCTAAGAATAATCACCACCATGCCTACAACATCAGCGACAGCAGTGATCAGATTAATAAACACACTAACATCAACAACAACAACAAAAACACTAATACTAACGAAAACAATTCTACCAACGACAAAAATACCAACGACAACAACAACACTTCATATAGAGGCAATAGTTCAGCTAACAACAACAGCATCAACACTAGAACTACAACATCGTCATTTTCATATTTCATAGCATCACCGCCCTCTACAGCTTCAGCAACTGGAACAACAATTACTAATGATGACAAAATTATCTATACTTATAGTAATAATGACCTTAGAAACATTAACAAGAATGTTTCTGGCAACCTTAGAAATCCCTGCAACACTACTACTACTACTAATAACCTTAACAGCATTAATGCTGACATTAAAATCAATAACACAAGAACAAACATCAACAACATTAATTATAACAACAGCAGCAGCAGCTTTCCTAACAACAAAATCACCAACAGCAATGCCAATTTATCCAATAGGAGCAGAAAGTTTTCAAAATTGGGACACCAAAACAGTAGCAGTTGCAACACCACCAACAACATCAACAGTGATAAAACCAACAACAAGCTGACAAAATCACATCCTGTTCCAAAACAATTTGATGCCATTAAAATTTTTTCAAATGACAGTATCAACGCCAGCAACAACAGCGTTAAGAACAATAACATCAACAAAAATTACAACAGAACCTTCAGCCATCCAGCAAATCAGAGCAACATGCACACGGATTACAACAACGAAAGAGGAGGAAGAGCAAAAAGAAGACTCTCCTCCCCATCTCCTGACATCAATGATGACGTCATTCTCATCAAAAACGACAGCAACAATGTTTTTAGTGTTAGAAACAGCAGCAGCAGTAACATTAACAACATCAATAACAATGTCTACAGTTCTAGATTAAAATCCAATAGGTTTTTAAACAAAGTTTTTCAATCTGCCACTAATTTTGCTTACAGCAATGATAATAACATCAACAAAGGCAGCTATGACAACATCAGCAACTCTGGCAGCAGTAGTAATACTAACAGCAAATTGTTGCTAACATCTGAGGTACCTTTTTCTTCTTCTTCTTCATCTTCAACCAATCCTAAAAGTAGTTTAAAGAAAGTTGAAAAGATTAAAACTTGCGTCAACAACAACAACAGCAGCAGCAGCAGTTGTATTAGCAATGATGGTGTTATTATCAACAGCAACAACAACAATAACAAAAATAACAATTTCAACAAGAATTTTGTTTCTAGGACTTCGTGGACTAACCCAAAAGTAAGCCTAATGAGACTTGATGAAAATTCAAACAACAACAACAGCAGCAATAACCACACTATAAATACACATGCGGTTAATTGTAACAGCAATAACAGATATAACAACAACAACAACAATAATAATAATAATAATAAATATGATTCTCCACCAATCACTATGAGGCCTAAAAGGAGAAAGGTTAACATAATAGAAGATGATGATGATGAGTATCGAGTTGGTGACGTCACTGATGACGTCAAGTCCTTGAGACGTAATGACGATGATGATGGTGATGATAACAATGATAATGTGAATGATGACGATGACGATATTATTATGACTGCAACAACGTTTCCAAGTCACACTTCGAAACGAAAACAGCAGCAGCAGTCCCAGTTTGAATCAACGTCATCTCTGCTGTTAGAATGCAGCAATGACGATGACGACGATGACGTCATCATTGGAACGGCTGGTGACGATGACAACAACGACGATGATGACGTTGATTTCATCGAGCAGGACAACGGTAGTAAACATGAGACTGATGATTATGACGATGATGACGTAACTATGCCGAGTCATGCTACCAACCCGATGAAGAAGTTTCAAAACTCAAAGGCGTACAAATCAACAAAACCAGCAACGAAAACCTCACAACAAAAGCGACAAAAAACGACAACAGCAACGACGACGACAACTACAAAATCGCCGACGACATTAATTTCACCAGCCAAGCAATTGCAACAGTCATCATCTTCACCACCACTGTCTTCATCACCGTCACTGCCCGATGATGACGCTTGCAGTGGCAAAACGCCGTCATCCTCATCGTCGTCGTCATCAGGGATTCAGATTTCCTCCCCGAACTGGACTTCGGATGCCAGCGGACCCCAGGGACTCGAATACTTCATGCCGCGAACGAATGCTGTCGTCTTGTCAACACAATCTACTGCTCAAGTTTTATATGTTGGTCTTATTTCTTTCCCATATTTTTCTCTTTCTTCAAATTTCTTGAGGAAGTGCATTTTTAAAAGTTTAGAATGAGGATGTGAATCTTTTAAAGTTTAGTATGTTATTTTTAATGTAAACGTTAAAAGTAGCGTCAAACTAAAACAGGAATTTTGGTTTTTAGCCTAGTCTCAAGTTAATGTGCATGCAATGATATTTAAAATATCAATAGTAAGTAATAATATTTGAATTTTTTAGAAACAGCTTGTACTCAGTTAAATTATAACTGATTCAGCACGTACATAATAATTGTAACTTTAATTTACAGACTTCTTGATGAATAGATACACAATCAGGTGGACGTGTGGATTCCTGACTGGTTATGCTGGCCTTCGTAAATATGACGTCATCTTCATCATCTTACTAATCATCAACGTTATCTAGCATTTTGGCTTTATCATTTATGATTTATAGATCAATTTGTTTGAGTGTGTTTTCATTTTCATGGTCTCCTCCCTATATATATACTATCTTTATCATCGTTATTATTATTATTACTATTATTATTATTATTATTATTATTATTATTATTATTATTATTATTATTATTATTATTATTATTGCTACTATAATATCATCATTGTTGTTGTTGTTACTGTCATCGTCGTCATCATTTTTTTCATATATCACAATTGTTTAACATCAGTTAAAAGAGATCATTGCCACGTTAATGATAATTAGTTCTAGGGATTGTACGTGGCAGTATTTTAACTGTCAGCCTCAACAAATCAATCAGACAACTGGTGAACCTTTCAATCTATCAATCAATTGATCAACCATTCAATCAACCAGTCGATCAGACGACAACCGGTCGACTTATAAGTTGGTCACTCTATCAATCTATCAACCGGTTAATCAATCAGTTGATTAATCATCAGGTCAATCAAACAATTGATCAACTTCTCATTCACTCAATTGTTCAATCGGCCAATCATTCAATCAACCCTTTAATCAGTCATTCGATCATTCATGCAAGCAAGATTTGTGTTTCATCATTCATTAGTTTTTCCATTTTTTGATTCTAATTTGGCGAGTTTGTTATTAATATTTTTAAGATTTATAACTATTATTATCTTAATTTATTATTTCATTAAAAAAATTGTATAAATAAATTTTTTTCGTGTAAATTCAAGTTTATTAACTAATTGTGAATCTTTTTAATTTTTCTGTTCTTTCTAGAAGAAATTTTTCTTGAAAGAAATTATTCATTTTATTTTTTTCTTTTGTTTTTATTGGTTGCTCAAGGTATTTTTCCCCATTCTTCTAATCACACATACACACACATACATACATACGTTGCGTAAATACACACACGCACTCAAACAAAAACACACAATATATATACATTTCGATTTGGTAAATTGTTTCAATTGGTTTGTCCCCCCTTTATATCTAATAATTTGTTTGTATCTAGACGAAAGTATTTCCTACTTGTTGTCTGTTTGCTTTTATATTTTTTCTTTTATTTTTCTAAATAATCATGATGATAATATCTAATAGTAATAATAATAATAATAATATCAGTGCGGCCCAACCTTCTTAGAAGATGCCACCCCTTCTAAAAGATGACCCCCATGCCAGCCGCCCCTTAGCCACTTGGAGACTCGAAGTAGATGACGGACCTTTATTCAGCAGGCTCTTCTCGCCGCTATTTTCCCATTTTGTTAACGTTTCACGGTTTTGAATAGGAAAAAATTAGTTTTTTTTTATTAAAAATTAGTTTTTTATTAAAAAATTAGTTTTTTATTTGATGAAAAATTTTAAAAATTGGTTTGTCCCAAAAAACCTCACGGCCACCACAAGGGCAGAGGAGGGCATGCCTGACAGGTTGAAAACTTCCTCGACTTATAAATGATAATATAACGTGTGTTTTTTTCTAGTGTTTTATTCATTGGTGAATGGGACTAAGTTATTCTATACGATTTTTATTTTTTATTAATTAATTAATCTTATTGGTTATTTTACATTATTTTTTTAAATTAATTAATTAATTAATTATTAATGATTGTTAATATTATTAAATCTTTCTGCAACAATAAAGCTTTGTGGTGCGTTTTTACTTGTTTGTTGGTTTGTTTTTGTTTGCTTGTTTGTTTTTGTTTGTTTGTTTATAATATCTTTATAAAAAAAATTGTATAGAACATCATGCGTGTGTGTGTTGTGTGTGTGTGTGTATTTTTATAAATAACATCATGCGTGTGTGTGTTGTGTGTGTGTGTGTGTGTGTGTGTGTGTGTGTATTTTTATAAATTTAATAATGATTTTTTAATAATGAATTGTAAAAATGTTAATAACATTTTACTGGTAATAAATCAATCAATCAGCCAACTAATTGATTGCTTGATTGATTGATTAGTTAATTGACTGATTGATTTCAATTATTTGTTAATGTTCTGCATCCGTCCATTTTTAATTGATTGTTCAATTAATCAATTAATATTAATTAATTACTTAATTGATCACCTAATTAAGCAAATCAATAGTTAGCTTAATACACACGTACACGTAAATAATTGTATATTTTATATCAGTTTGTGTGTGTGTGCGCGTGCGTATGTGTGTGAGTGTGTGATGTAAAATAAGATTACATTAAAATAGAATTACATGAATTACATTAAGTCGACGTTCGTTGTCATCGATGTTGATGTTTTGTTGTTGGTTCGTTATGGTGCTAACATCTTGCTGTTTTTGTATGTAGTGATTATGTTGTATATATATATATATATATGTGTGTGTGTGTGCGTGCGTGTGTGTGTAGGTTACAGATTAAAAATTTAATTTATTAATAAATTGGCAGACTTTATGAGTTTTTAATAGTTATACTGTTCATTCAATCATTCATCAAATCATTCATTCATTCACCTTACTTTCGCTCGATCGTCATCAATCTCTCTTCATTCATTCTTTCATTCATTCATCCATTCTTTCATTTATTCATCCATTCTTTCTTTTTCTTTATTACTATCGTTTCACTATTTAATGTTTCATTGGCTTAAAAATAATGCAATAGTATATATATATATATATATATATATATATATATATATATATGTATATATATATTGTGTGTATATACAAACATTTATATGTTCTACTTATAGTAGTTTTTTTATTCGATTATTATATATCTAATCTATTATTATAAATTATTATTCATTTTTTAGTGTATTAATGTTCTACTTTATTAATTTATTTAAATTTATTCATTTTTTTTCTCAATAGAAACTGTAATGAAGCTATTAAGACAATACTATGCACATTGTATGTTATATGATTAATTTTCACATAAGTGTTTGAACCGATGTTAAACAATTGTCATTATTGTTATTATTAATGTTATTATTATTAACATTCATTTATTCACTCATTCATTCATTCATTCCATCATTCATTCATTCATTGTAGTAGTAGTAACATCTTATTTAACCAAGTTACGTTAGTGGCATTATTATTAATATAAATCAATCTTTCATTCATTTATTCACTCATTTATTCATTCATTCATCTATTTATTCTTCATTTCATTTCTCAATGTATCATCTTTTGTATATATCTGAAATTCAAACTTGTTAATGATATTATAGATGGTATCAATGATATATATATATATATATATATATATATATATGTATATATATATATATATATATATATTTATATATATTATGATAATAAACTAATGCTTATATCTATAATTGTATGTATGTATAATGTATAAATATATATGTGCGTTTATATTATATGTTAATTTATTCATTCATTAATGTTAATAACTGTTTGTTAATTATCATCAACTGTTAATTATGTCTGTTTATTGCTAATATTATTCTCATTATTATGATCATTAACTATTATTAATATTATATTATTATTATTTTTATTATTATTTATTAATCACAGCACAGCTACAGAAGATGATGACGTTTAATATATTCTTCATGTATATTTTGTGCTATATATCGGCACTATGTTGGATTAATTAATTAAACGATTAATTAATTATTTAATTAAACGATTAATTAATTAATTACTTGTACGGAGGATTAGTCGTTTGAACTATGAACGTTAACCTTTTCGATTAACGACCCTTCTTAATTTATTATACTTCAAACTTTCGATAACTTTTTTCCTCTTCGAATCATAGACGCTTCGGGTATGTGGATGATTAAATGGAAACAATTCGTTACATTGTAATGGATACTAACAGTTTAATTACTAACTTAATTTCGCTTTTTTATCTTATAGTTGTACAATCTTTCAAAATGAACAAAAACACGCGCACACACACATACATACACGCACACACACATACATACATACACGCATACACACACATACATACACAAACATACATATATACATACATACACTTTAGTGAACAAATGATTCAAGATTTAAACAAGGAAGGATACAAAACCAGGTTTTACGCTGTTGAGGCTGGTGCAAGAGGAACAGTGGGAGCGTTGATGTATGCACTTTTCAAAGAGTTGGGACTGTCAGGCAAGAAGCGTACAGCATGCCTGAAGAAAGTTATTAGTAGCGTAGAGCAAGCTTCGTATTGGTTGTGGCTGAATAGAAATAAAAAGGAGTGAAGGCTGAATTAGCAAGGCATGGCCACAGTGATACGACTTCGCATGGATATATAAAGCTGAATTTTGGTAGAAATAGCAGATAGACACCGCTGAAAAATCAACAGTCTTCGAGAAGGGCTCGAGGGATCAAAGAACGTGGCCCGGTCCCCCAAGAATGTATGGAGGTTGTTCAGGGCCGAAACATTTGTCGACCTGAGGACTTTTCGGGGATTTGGCTCAACGGAGTTCTTACATACGGACATACATACTCATACATACGTAAACGCACACACACATACTTACATACATACACAAATGCACGTAAATTAACCGCACGTGCAAACACATACTATATATACACTAATTTATTGATTGTTTTTTCCTTGACGCTAATAAGCTTTGCAAAAAACTATATATATATATATTTATGTGTACACATACACGTGCACCTATTTGTACACAAAG